AGCATTACAAGTTTCCTAAAATCAGGAAAAGAAATTGGTATCCTTAGGCTTCAGCCAGAGAAGGCCAACCAAGAGTATTTCACAAAAAATTCAGAAGCTCATAGAGGGAGTTTTTTTGATCAAAAGCGAGCAGCAAGACAACTAAACAGTGAGAATATTTCTCCAAATGAAAGCAGAAGTAAGCAGCTCTTTCAGGATGATAAATCACCTGCAAATTTTATGGAAGAAACAGAGAAAGTCACAGATTCACAGAATTCTGATGTTTGTAAGATCTTCACCTGTCCTGTTTGCTTTGAGAAGCAAAGCAGCAATAATTTGGAAGAACTTAATAGACACATTGATGAGTGCCTCAGTGGGATGTGTGTTAAAGATACTGTGGAAATATCCAAGAATGACAGTTCAAGAGAAAATACATCTAACTTTCTTCCTCAATTTAAAAATGAGTGGGTTGATAAATGTCAAAATAATAAAACAGATCAATTATCAGGAACAGACCAGTCTGCAAGTGTATCTGACAGCTCTACTGACAATAGCACCGAAAGATTTAGTCTGATAATACCTGATAAATCTCCCAGTGAACAACAGCCTAACAATCTCAGTGACATTGCTAGAAACGTGTGTATGAAACAGTGTTTCTTCCCCAAACAAGCATCACAAGACAATGAACACCATTTTGACAAGACTGAAGTTACAGAAGGAGCTAGTTCATCCTGTTTCTTTGAAGCCAAAGAAGACAGTGTTCTTGTTTGTCCAGTTTGTAATTCAGAACAGAAAAACACCAATCTTACAGCATTTAACAGACACGTTGATGTCTGCTTAAATAAAGGCCTTATCCAGGAGCTGACAGAAAAAGAGGATTTTCCTACTAAGACTTATAATATGGAAAACTCAAACAGAGTTTTCTGTGGTAAGTATATGCATATTAGTTTAATTATTCAAATTGTCTGCATTTGCAATTAAGATACTTTGGCAGTGATGTACTTTGAACTTTCTGGGACTTTGAAATTTTTTTCTCAACAAGCTTATTTAAGTATGGACTATATAGGAGTGAACATTTTTATTTAAAAAATATCAAATTGATTTTCATGACAAACTAGATTTATGAATGTGATGTTAGTTTGTCAATACTCTCCCATTTGCCACAAAAGTGACACATTAATTACTGCTTATTTCTGGAAGTTGTATGTTGGTTACACTCAACCATATTCAGAAAGGTGTTTGTGAGGCCACTGAGATTAAAATGAAAATCAATGAGAGCATCATCAACCTTTATTGTTTCAGATTCAGTTAACAGAGTGGCTTCATTATATCATGTGCTGGCAAAAATAGAGATGAGAACTAGAGCCTAAAGGAAGAACTTCCAATTCTGTTTTATAGCCAATAAAATATATCACATAACTTCACCTGTAACATGCCACAGGACTATCATTCATGTTTTCTGAAGTAGTTTCTCTTTTTGACAAAGAATTCATATTCAGCCAGATTAGAATGCTTATGCAGGTAGTAAAGTATCTGCTTAAAGTAGTCCCTAATCTATTTTAAGAACCTTATAAAAAGAAATTAAAATGCTAGTGTATTAGAATTTTCATAAAACAATTAAGACTTAAGATAATAATATTTTACAAGAAAATTTTCAAAGTGATACTGCTTTACTTGTGCAAACATGTTTTAATTTAAATGGAAGGCTTACTTTAGGTGAAGTTTCTTTTCTGCCCCCTGGAGGATAAAAAAATTAAAACTATGATTTTTAACTTCCATCTTGAAAATCAACTACATTATGCTGTAATATTTCTGCAAAGTGTTACAAGATTCAAAGTAATTGCTTATAATTCAATAACATAAAGGCTTTTTGGTTTTCTCTTTTAAAAATGGTAATATAAACTACAGTGTTCAAGTTGCAGATAATAAAATGCTATCTGCTTGAGATAGATTAAATTTTAAAAAAAGTTCTTCCATCGATGTAGTTTCTGAAGCATTCTTTATTGAAGTAACTAATTTTGGTTGTTTTCAATTACTTTTAAGGAGGTTTAAGCAAAGGACAACAATGCACAAATCCATCACAAGGAACAAAAAGGTAAGTGTTTTTTGAAAGTCTGAGTATCCAACTTGTTTTAAAATACTGAAGTCTAGAAAAATATTCAGTGTGGTAAAACCTGAATTGGTATGCATTATGTATTTTAACTTCTTACTGTGTTTTTTTTCCTCCTTCTTTGTTTAACCCTAGGTCTGGACTAACAGCTTCACAGTCAATATCAAAAAAAGCCAAGTCAAGCAATTCCAAACATACAATCAAAATGTTTTTTAAATGATTGTATAGCAACGTGTTCTATATGAAGACTTTCATAGAGTTTTATGACTGCAAGTTAATTTAGCATTGGCAGTGGGCTGGATTCAGGTACCTGTCATTTTGGAACCATTCCATAACTGTGTAACAAGAACATGATGTGTGAGACAGAGAAGAGATAAAATAATTTTTTTTTTATTTTTCTTTATTTTATTTTCTTTGGAGAATAATACTTTTTTCCCCACTTGTTTCCAAGAATCAAAATTTGCTAGCACTTTGATTTAGCTCCCTAGAATACCCAGGAATCATTAGCTAGGGTGCCCCACTGTACTTGCTGAAGGCCTTCTTCCCACACCTGAATTTCTGTCTTCCCTATTGTAAAAATAAAATTATGAGTTTAACTGTGTGATAACAAAGAAGAGTTGAGTGGCTCGATTTCAGCTAATGTTTGTTTTCGTAGTGGACACAAAAATGTGTTTGTCTCACAGGATAAGAACAAGAACTTAGAGCACTATCAAGCTTTCATTGTTACTGAAAATTATTTCAGTAAGAGCTGACTGACCAGATCTGAAGGACTCGTCGTGGTGAGATAAACAACGACTTCACTTGTTTAAAAAATGTTTTAAAATCTGTTGATTGAGATGATTCCTCCAGGATACTCAGACAAATGCTGTTTGATCTTTGGCCTTTCTAAAGGGACTGAAAATTTTTTTACAGTTTGAAATTGTTACCAATGAGTAGCACTAAATTTATTCTAAATAAAAGGTTCCATGGTGCAATATTAATGGATTATGTGCAAGCACAAGATAATGAACCTTCTTATTGCTTAGCTATCTTTCTCTTTTAAGTTACTTTGTATTTCTGAATAAAGTGTCTTCTGTGAATGCATATGTGGAAAGAAGAATGTAAGTGCAAATATTTAAAATGCTCTGTTTAGATTTTTTCTGTTCACACCAAATTGTTTAAAGGTATTTTATTATAATTAAGTATTTATCAGACAAATAATTTATTATAACAGCATGTTTCTTAGAAATTATACAAACAATGCCAAGCCCTGTAGGAAATACAAATTGCTTTTTCAACTGCAAGGTCTTTTAAAGATGTGGCTGCTGTAGAAACAACTATTTTGTTGTTCAACTGTATTGGGATTTGCTTGTTTTTTAAACAAACAGATGTATACATGGTATGTATTAAATGCCCAAGCCAGTTCAGAATATGTTTCCAGAATTGCTGGAATGATTACACCATCTCTACCTGCTTATCTGTTTGTTTGTCAGATGTCACTGTACCCACACCTCTGTCATTTGAATTCATGTCAGTGCTCCCTTACCTGCTTCAGACCAAATCAGCTGGACTAGTTCAGACTGTAAATTGATTTAGTCAAATTTTTCAAACTGGGTCAGTGAGCACTCATCATGAGCTGGTCTGTTGACATACATGGGAACTTCTGGTAGGAAATACATAAAAGCAGCTGAGGGAGCGTAAGTCTGCTAACTGCTGTTTAGAAAGTGAACACCTCTCCCTTTTTTGGTTTGTACCTCTGATTCAATAAAGTGTAGAATGTAAGTATTACCTTGTCATTGTGTGTATAACTTTAAAACGTCTACTTTTACATAAGCATTACATAGCAAAAAGTAAGCTACTCTTACATGCTTGAAAAAAAATAGGTTAGTTGGCTTAGCCTCAAAAGTTGCCTTGTCATTTGTTTAACAGGGAAGTGTCATAGAGTTATCCTATTGTCATGAAAGGTTGTGGATGTGTCGGTATTAATGTGAAAATAAAACTTATAGTGTGACTGTAAATTATTCCATTGTGTGTTGACCCTAGCTGGATGCCAAGCAGCCCCCAAAGCTCACTCACCTCTGCAGCTGGACAGGGAAGAGAAAATATAATGAAGGGCTTATGGGTTGAGAGATAAGGACCAGGAGAGATCACTCATGAAATACCATCATGGGCTAAGCAGGCTCTAATCAGATAATGTAATTAGATGAATTGAATTTATCACTAAAAAAAATGAGAGCAGGCTGAGAAGTAAAATAAGATCTTAAAACACCTTTCCCGCATCTGTCTCTCCTCAGCTCTGCCTCCTCCCCCAGTGGCACACAGAGACAGGGAATGGAGGTTATGCTCAGCTCCTCACACCTTGTTCCTGCTCATGGAGAGGAATCTTTCCCCTGCTCCAACATGGGAGACAGTTCTCCATGAACTTCTCCAACATGAGTCCATACCATGGGCAGCGCCCTCCGTGAACTGCTGCAGTGTGGGTGACTCTTCCATGGGGTGCAGTCCTCCAAAGACAGGCTGCTCCAGTGTGGGTCTCCCACGGTGTCACAAGTCCTACCAGGAAAGCTGCTGCAGCATGGGCTCCTCTCTCCACAGGTCTGCAGGTCCCTGCTCCAGTGTGAGCTTCCCATGAGGTCACAGGCTCCTCTCAGACATCCACATGCTCCAGCATGGGACTAAATTTACTTTCCCAGGATTGTTTTTTCGTTCAGCTGAGTTACATTGACCTACTGGAAGTACAGTTGGTGAAATTGCCATATCAGACTAGTGTATCAATTGTAAAGATTTTTTTTATATCACAGCCTCTGTATACCAGTAATATTTAAAGGCGATAAGAACTGTGAAATCTCTTTATCTAAGGTAAGCAGAATTTGAGCAAATAGCTTTTGTATCCAAATTAATTAAATTTACAAACTCTTTAGTATTTTAGATTATGGACAGGTATGTTAGTTATCTTGGAAATTAATGTGATTGTGGAATTTAATTTAAGAAAAAACTACAGAAAGCAACTCCAATGTGTCTACAACTGTGTGAGGCTGAATACTGGTGGTTCTGCTTTCTTGGAACTACTTTTCCTGTATGTATATTGAAATAGAAATATCAAAGGCTATTTTAAAAGTAAAATTCAATGTAGTCACTTTAAAAAGTTATGTACTGTTACAGAAAAATTGTTGTCTATGTGAAAGGAAATACCGAAGATCAAACTTATAATGTCAGGGTTACTATCAGACACTGGAATTCTGTATTTCAGAGCTACTGAATATGTCTTGCTACTTCAGCTGACCAAACAGATGCTAATTTTTGGATTGGGACATTAAAGGAAGGTCTCCATTTAAAAGTGGGTTTTGTTTGTTTTGGTTTGTTTTTTCAGTCATGTCACACTGTTTGGTTACTGCTTTATATATTTTGTGTTTTGGTGGTGTGCTTTAAAACAGAACAATTTCCCAAAGAATAGGAAATAAGTGCTGAAGTTTGTAGCATTCACTCCTATGCCTATGCAGTAATTTGAGATGCAATTAAATAGTAAGAGCTTCATAAACAAACTGTTCCTGTGAGTGCCAACTCTGGCAATCTATGTTGTGAAAAGTCTCCCTGTAGTTACACTTAAAAGTTGAAACTAGAAATATCAGCCAGATGTCTCTAAAGGAGAAAAACCTAGTAAATAAATGCTTTGGTGATAAGAAGCAAGTGGTTCTCATAACACTTAATCAGTACAAAGAACAGAAAGTGTAAACAGTATCATCATCCCTTACATTGGTTATGGCTACTTTTTTAATAATACAGGTTTTTTTATCATGTTTTCCCAGAGTACTTCCAGATGATAGAGAATTTCAATATGCCGCTAAAATGAACAATTTGGATACCATGGAAAGCTATTTAAAATAATGTTGACATAAATGCTGTAGACACTGTGAGTATAAAGTGCCTGACAGATGACTGATGTGAAGGGTGACTCCTTGGGGTTGGTGGGGGAATGCCAGCATGCCCCCTCAGCTGCAGGAGTGAGGTGCCCTCTAGGACCTGATGAAGAAATCACTTCATACAGCCATAATGGACATTACAGCCTAACTCTCAGGTTTTGCAGTAGTCAGTGCATCACATTAGGAACTAAGGATTTCTCAATTGTGCCCCTGCTCTAGTGTTTCCTCAGAGCTCTTTGGTGACTGATTTCTCAAGTTCTCAATTTTTCGAGTGGGGTGACTTTACCTCACAGTCATTTTAAGAATGTATTCATGCTGCTAGCATTACAAATTTCTAAAAAGAAGTATATTGCTCTTTGGTTTGCATGGAACCATGGGAGCATTCTGCAATGTCCTCTGATTCCAGCCTGAGCTCAGAGTTCAGATTTACCCTAGATATACAAAAATGCATTTCCTATGCTGACTTCAACACCACGCCTAAAATCTGAGGATATATATTTCACAGTAGATAAATATAGCACTGTGTTCCACATGAGAGGTAGTTCAACAGCAACCAAGCAGTCATGATATTAACGTGGGATTTTTGTGTAACAGTGTCCTCTCAATAGCTACATATAAATCATCTACCCCTGAGTATCCAGTGTTACTGGGTTATGAAAAAATTTGCCTCCCATGCCCACATGCATTTTCAGTCACTGGGGAATTTAGAAGATAGTATAGTGCATTCCTTGATTTGCTTATGAAACAGACAAGGAGACAAACATTTCCTCTGAGCACACTTCTCTTGAATACTGAGAGTATCAATTGAATTGCACACTAAAAGGTCACTTTAAAATAGTTCTTTCTTCCTTCTTGCTTTCCAGAATTCAGAAAGTTAAACAAAATACATTTTAAGTTCAGTAGTTTGAAACTTTTCTCTGTCATCCTTAAATTAGATCTGTACTATGAGAGAGTTACTAGTACAGCTGCAGAGGCGTTGTGCTTTGGTTGGTTATCCTAGTAGGGATGTAGCCTATGCTGGCAAAGCCATTTTTTTTTTGTTAATGTTGATCATTCCTGCCCCTGTACTCTCCAGCTAAATAAGAAAGGCTGTCAAAAGATGAGCTTTTTGATAGTACTCTTTCTGTAGTACAAGAGGCTTTTTTCTGACATAAATACACATCATAAATCCCACCTTTTTATTCCTTTTGATGCATATGATTGTAAATTCAAATTTATACAATTCAGGTGATCTTCAGAGAAGCTAAGAAAGCAAATCCAAACTGACTTTTAAAATTAATTTCTTAAAGCTCTTATACATCTTTGTATGGAAACTATTCATCACTAAAGTTAAACCTAGTTATGCCCACTTTTACTGAATGCAAAACTCTCTCCAATAAAATTTTATTCAATTTAACAAATCCCTTTTAAATATATACCACTAATAACTTTATCAAAGTCTTCTTCAGAAGCACTGAGCCCATTTATCTCTGTGAAATTACTCACTGTTTGCAAGGTGATAGATTTCGTTTCCGTAGATGATGACTCAGTATGTGAAGGTGACTAACACTGAGTGAGAGAGAAATATTGGCTTGCATTGCAGAGGTTTAGTCAAAAGCAAGGAGGACACCAAAAGTAAGACTAACTGCATACATACAGACCTCAGCTATTCAAACTACACCATGCAATAATATAATAAACGATATCATAAACACCTCCCCTATATAGTGTTTGACTACTTAATCCCATTTTGACATTTCAATGAAAGGACAATACTATGTAGACTAACAAAGCCATTCTGTTTTTACAAGAATTCTCTAAGATCAATATCTAAATTCTATCCAAGGAAACAAAACAAAATACATAGATAAAGATCAAGTGTTGAAGGAGAAATATGAAAAAGTACATATTAACAGGTACATTTGATAACAATCAGAGAATTCCAAAAGCCTGACCACGTGTCCAGGGAAAGAACTGTATTACAGACCTGACAAACAAAGCTTTGTTTTTTCCAGCTGAAGTGCACAGCGCTGCATTTTGCTGTTGTGGGAGGCCATGTGTCCATGGTGGATTTTCTTCTTCATCACAAAGCTAGACTTGACTTGGCAGATCAGGTAAGCTGGCTAACTTGTTTTGTTTCACACGTATAGGAACTCCTTTGATTAAAAGCAGATAATTTTCTTGTGCTCCCAATTGTGCAAAAATTAAGAGCTTGCAGTAAAAACTTCAGTTTGTCTTAGAACTGCACATATTTGTATGAAAACAGCATTTTTAGAAGAAAAACACATTGCCCAAAGTATTGGATAACTTGAATACCTGAGTGAGCACGAGGCACCTCTCTTGGCCAGGTCACAGTGTTTACGATACAGACAAGGACATTATTTGCCTTGTGTGCTGCAAGAGCACACTGCTGGCTTGTGTTCAACCCAGTGTGCACCAGGACCCCCAGGTCTTCCTCTGCTTTCCAGGCAGCTGTCCCAGCCAGTACTGCTGCCTGGGATTGCTCCTTCCAGGGGCAGGACATTGCATTTGCCCCTGCTGAATTCTTGCCAGGCCATTTCTCCAGCCTGTCAAGGTTTCTCTGGATGGCAGCACACCAGTATAGTCTATCAGCCATTTGTACCAATTTAATATGAAGTTTGCTGTGGGTACATTCTGCTCATCATTCAGGTCATTAATGCAGATGTTAAATAGCTTTTCCAGGATGGATGCCTAGTGCATTGCTTGTGACTGGCCTCCAGCTATTCATAACTTGGAAGGTTTTTCAAGACAGACTTTTAGGCCTCAACCACAAATTTTGCTGAAGCCTAGATTTATCTTATTGCCTGCATACCAGGTAAATAATCCATATTGCCCTCCACTGTTCTCCACTGCAATTTCTGCAAATATGGGAAAGACTGGTAAAGTGGAGTACGTCCCATGCAGAGCCTCTAGGATGATTAGAAGTGCAGAACAGGGTATATGAGGAGGTGTCCTAATATCCAACCTAAACCTCCCCTTACACAGCTCCATGCCGTTTTCTCTGGTCCTGCCAGGTCAGTGCCTACCCCTCCACTTTCCCTTGCGAGGAGGTTGTGACTTCAGTGAGGGCTCCCCTCTGTCTCCTCCAGGCTGAACAGACCAAGTTTGCTTCTCATATGGTTTCCTCTCAAGGTCCTTGAAGTACTCCTTTTGTTTTTAAGATGCTCAAAACAGGGTTTGTTTTTTCCTATGAGGAAAAAAAAAAGTTTTTAGAGAATTTGAGAAATGAGAACATTAGAAAGAGGTCTAAATGAAAAATTATGGTGACTTGTGGAAGTATAGTCATTGCATATTGTCACTTGAAACATCATCCACTGCACCCAGGACTATCTATCTACATGGTTTCTGGAGAGAGAAAATAATTTCCAGTTAGGACTTAATCCCTCTGTTGTAAAATGGGATCTGTCCTTCTTTAGGGATGCCAGACCTTCTGTGAAGAAGTCAGACATTTACCTAGGTCTTTATTGCATTTAGCTTAATTTAAGTGAGATGAATCCCACCCACACTGTCAGGTGTTCATATTGGTTTTCTAAAAGCCTGCAGATTGGTACCCACTAATATCAATCAATGAAAAAGATTTAAAGAAATTTGGCTTGAGGTATTTTGGTGGTAATTTCTGCCTTTGTAATTTTATTTGAATCACAGCCTGACAGTGATTCATCTTGCAGCCTGGACTGGAAATCTGGATATAATGCGAAAATTAGTTAAAGCAGGTGCTCATTAAAAGACTGAGGTTTGTTGATGACAAATTTTTACCAACAATAAACATGTTTATGTTAGGAAAAAAATCAATCATTCTTACAGGCTGACTTACCATTTTTCAGGAAGGAATGAACGTACTGCATTTTGCAGCTCAGAGCAACAGCATTAAAATAGTTGATTATTTCCTCCAAGATCTTAATCTGAATGATTTGAACAAACCTGATGGGGTACAGTGTGTTTCTGTTTATTTCTTTGATGTAATGAGGCTCTTATTTCTGGGGAAACAATCTTGGCTTGGGGAATTTCAATGAATTTTACTTCATTGACAGTTACATATACTTTTAATTACTGACTTGGATGCTGAGAAACAGGTAAAAGAAGCAGCCAGACAAGCGATTAGTGGCAACACCTTTCCTCCCTCTTTGTCCATTTCAGTTGGACTGCAGACCTCTGTTGTCCTTGCTTTGCTGCATCAGTGATGCTCAGTTGTGGTAAAGCAATGGGAGGCAGAGGAGGCTGGGCTCAGTCCCCAGTCAATTCCTTTTTTTTTTTCTGCTCTTTGCTTCTTACTATTTTCCTCTGCTCCAGAAAACTTCTTGCATGGGCTGCAGTCACCTGTGGGTTTACCTTCCCCTGTGTCTCCTTCCTTGCATCTTCCTGTGTCTCCTGCTGCATCCTTTGTGCATCCTTCCCACAGCACTGCCCAGCCACTCTTACATAGAGGCATCACTTGGTTCTGTGGTGGGTTAAGTGCTGGCACATCATGGGGCAGTTTGATCTACTGTGGAGCCAGCTGGAAATGTCTGTGCCCAGCACAGGGCAGCCTCTGACATTTCCCACACAGCTCATTTTCACAGACTCCTGCCCTTACCAAAACATGCCAGTCATGACCAACATGGACATGTTTCACCAATGCAGAACACAGGACTCTGTGCAGCCATCCTACAGAGGTGCACTGACTCTCCGGCAGTGCCTTGTCCTCATGAGGTTGTCTGTGTTTTTAATTTTAATTTCCACAATGTTGCAATCTTGTTTTGAAAGGCTATGTCGCTAAGTCAGATATTTTATCTTGACATGAGGTAAACTTATTCCTGTGAGATCTGACACCTAAAGAACAAATCTCTCTTTATTTTTTTCTGAGTTTCTTGAATTCTGGTGACTCAAGGGTGCAAAATTCTGAGTTCTTTTTACAAATGATGTGTCTGACAGGGCAGAGTTAATTTAACAAAACATACCTTTAAGCCCTGGGAAAGGAAAGGTGAGAAGGACCTTCTCAACCACCTGTTGAGGTTGCATCATAATTCTCTACTAGATGCATGCATTTTTTTTTTTTTCTAGACATTTCTGTAGACACTGTCAGGCATGATGTGAAGCCATTTCACCTAGCTGGTTATATGCCTTAACATCTTGAACAGTAGTATGGTTTTGTGTCAGTTGAGTTTGTAAATGATTTGAAAAGTTTCTGTTGGTTTCAACACTACCAAAACCCCCTACAATGTACAGTGCTAAATCCAGGCCTCCTGGATGAAACTTCTGAGACATGTCAGTTTTGGTCTCTGTTTCCAGAATTTGGGTCAAACAAATTCACCCATGGAAATAAATTTTTATGTAGGATACATATTTACAAATGCATGCCATATATCTAGTAACTAGAAATAAAGTATTTCTATTTTCTGTAACACTATGTTTATTTCCATAATTGTTTTCTAGAAAGGTAAAAAGCCATTTCTTCTGGCCTCTGAAAAAGGCCATGTTGACATGATAAAAAATTAGATTGCTCTGAAGCTATTTACATCTGAAAAAGATGAGGTAAATGTTTCTTTTCCACAGAAGTACAACTACAAATGTGCTTATGAAAGATTATTTTGTTTCACTGTGATTATTATACAATCAAATATCTTAGTGCTCTCTATAGATGTTACAGAGATATATGGGACCAATAAATATAAAAGGATGATGATTTTTTTAGTGGTAAAGAGAAGGCCGTGGGATGATTGCCAGGAGACTTTTCCATACACATTCATAATTTATGCAAAGCAAGACTAGCATATGCTGTCTGTAGAGAGAAGTGGGGAAGCCTTGTGATACAGGTGTCAGCATCTTCTGGGAGATCAATTTCTCAGTATTTCACTCTGTCTGTGTCTGTGTGTCACTGTGTGACCAATTTTTCAAAGGTGTTTAAAAGCTTCAGGATGAAAATAAACATGTATAAATTCCTTTTCAGCAGTACCTTTACACTTCAATCTGATTGAGTTGCTTTGACACTGAATTTTAAGGTATCTTAGTAATTTTTGAAAGTCTGCTCTTAAATCTATTTTTCCTCACCTTACTATTTCTGGAATGAGCAAGTTAGTATTTCTCTACATCTGAGGCATTGTAAGGACAAAAATATTAAAAATTGTGAATATGTCAGATACTGTATTTACAGAACCACATAAGTAAGCACTCAGAAAGTGAAGTTGGATTTTTTTCTTTTCTGGTAATAGTTTAAAAGCTGTAGTGCCAACCAGAACTCTGCTAAGCTAAGCGGTTTATCAGCAGAGGTTGAAAGATATCATTGTCCCAGATATCTAGCAGCTTAAAGGTGTCAACAGCACCAGGAGGTAAATGCTGTGGTCCTGCAAATTAAGTAAGAAGCCAGAACAGAAACTCACCTCTTGGGTTGCCAAACTAAATCACACTGTAACCATCAATGTTAAAAGGATTCCCACATCTTCCCACTCAATGCTGTGAATGAAAAACTGTTCTGGACTCTCATTTTTCTGAGAGTTAGGATTCTTCTAAATTTTTTTGCCATTTTTATACTATTTTGTATGCTTACTTTTTCTTTTAGTTCAAAAGCTGCTGATTTGCCTGAAGTTGTTAGTTGCTTTATTTTTTTCCGTGGTGGTGTGGTGTTTTGGTTTTGGTTTTGTTTCTGTTTTGTGTTTCTTAATTTCCTGGAAAGAAATTGCACTAACAGTGACAGAAATCAAAGACTGTGATGTTGATACCAAATTTCTGTCAAATTTCTGTACTCTGACCTAGGCTTTTTTACTCTTTAAATCAGTGGTCTTGGGGGTTCAGTGTAGTACCCATCCTTCTGGGAACCAGTACCTGAAGTTTTCTTCTGATTCATATGTTAGGAGTTAGAATTTCAGATCTTTTTGCTGGTATACATTGAAGTTTTCAGACAACCAACCAGACTGGACAACATCAAGATTAGACTGAATCTTGGCACATGCTGTGTGCAGTTGCCTCCCTCTCCTTGTATGCAAAAGACCAAAGGTATTGTGTTGGTTTTAGTTATTTTCTTTATTCTGAATTTTAAAATATATTATTTGACATTTTAATTTCAAGGAGGGAAACACAACATTTCATTTAGGAGTGAAAAATGGTCACAGTGAAGTTGTGGAAATTCTGCTTGAACAATGGGAGGAAATAAATGACCTCAATCATGTAAGTGCCCTAAATTATTGAAAAAAAATAAAGTTAAAAATTTGAAAAATTTTCTAAAAAATTACATTTTAAAGGAAGAAATGTGGCACTGAGGACACTTCATTTGTCTTGCTGGTTTCCTAGTAACTTTATGTCCTGTTTCCTTGTTCCTTGTCCAATAAATTAAGCTCCCTTAACTCCTTCAGTGTTTTCCTCTGTCCTGTATGCCTTATACACATCCTCCCCTGCATTTGGCAAGCCCTTGCATAACCACTAGCAGACGAGAACAGAAGAAAGGCCTTAACCTCCTTGCTCTCTGTCATCCAGCATTTTTAGCCATCTGATCCCATTCCTTTAAACATCTCACTCTTAAGCCTATTCACTGAGCAGTTTGCTTGCATACCAAGCACATACACCACAGGCAGAGGTAATCTGTATCTTGTCCATCTGACCTCAGTTGCACAAAAGTGGCTGCAGACACTGCCTATCCAATTTGCTTTCCTAGTTTAGTGTTGGTGAAGCTCAGCCAGCATATTCCTCAATTATGTATTAGCTGTGAAGGTTGTATCCCTGAGTTAATGCACTCTTGAGGCTCATTTTAAGGCTTAAACAAGGAGTGGAGAAGGGAAATGCACACTAACTGCTCCTCTCAGCGTTCTTGCTTTGCAAAGGGTTTGTGTCTCTTCTGTTTCTTCTGTGGGGCAGCTGGAACACCCTGGGCAAGGTAATTTCCTTTGTTGTGGGCTGGAATGCCCACTCTGGGAACATGCCATGCGGTTGATGATTTGCTCTGCTGGGCCACGGGACCAGATGAGTAGCTCCTACCCAAGGCCCTCCTCTTCCTTAATCAGTGACAGACTGGTGAGTTGAGAAATTCCCTCTTATCCAGCTTGTCTGCTGTTTTCAGCTGTGCCTGTTGTGAGGCTCATGAGCCTCTTTGAAACGTGGAGCCCTCGTATTTCCAAGGCTGGTCTAAGAATGTTGCACACAAAGCTTGTGCAGCTCGTGCCCCTGTCTTGACATGGCTAATGGTATGACCTTCCTCTCCAGCTGGAGACGTGATCTGCACAGGAACAGAGCTCTTTTCCCACAGCATGAGCAAAGTACTAAAATGTATTAAGTTTACCAGAATAGCATCAGGATTTTAAGCAAAGAAAAATTAGGATTTATTGATTTTTTTTTTTTTTTGTGATTGTTGAAACACCAGAGTAACTTTCATTAAACCTTTGTGTATGTTAGATGTTGAGAAGCAGGAATTAGATAATTGTGTAGCTGATGTATCCCATTTTATAGATTTGAAGACGTGGAGACTCCTTCAGTGTGAAAAGATTTGGAATAAATATTCAACAGGATTATTTCTGCTTAAAGTTCTCCTTATAACTAGCACTTAGGGTTGTGAATTTTTCAGAAATCCATGACATTGCATAGAAATTGGAATTACTGTATGTACTAGCATACTACTGGTGTTTTCTGGTGTTGAATGGCAACAATTGCTGCTCACCAAAAAGAGCATGATTAATATTTATGAAATAGTTTTCTGTATTGTAAACGTTACTATATCTCTGTCCAGATAAACATCATCTACCGCTTAACTGCTGGTGAGCACCATGTCATTCACGAGTTGGATGAGCCTGATGGAGCCTATTGGAGATGTTTTGTGTCTCAGTGCTGTAGTCACATCTCTTAAATTGGAACAGACATTTTGGCTCTTTTGGTCCAGAACAGAGAAACTCCATTTTACTTGGCTGTTGAAGGAGGTAATGAAAAATGTAAAAATGTGCTGAACTCTAACTGGAGGCAGGGAGTGACATTAATGTTTCAACACAGGTATGTGCACAGTATCCCTCCTACAGGGACATACTAGACTGTATGAAAAAAAGACCTTACCAGCAAAGAATATTTGCTCTGCCTTTTTTTTTTTTTTTGTGTGTGTGTGTGTGTGTGTGAAACAAGTTAAAAATAGAATGGGGAATGTAGAGAGTATGAACAGAATAAAACCAATTTGGAAGTAAAATAGCATTGATGGAGTACTGTGGTGGAGCTTTTTATTTCCTGTGTGCCCACTAGTACAACAAATGACTAGAAAATGTGACCAACTAGGATAACTGAAAATCCTCCTTTTTAGCAGTGCATGTGACTGATCTGATGACAAACTTGTTCTCTACATCTGATTCCTGAACTGCAGTCCAACTCATATCTGCTGAATGGCCTTGGCTAGCCTGCTGCAAGAAATTTATGACTCCAGCAGAATGAGAACTTGTTTGTTTAAGCAGAACTATATTGTAAAAATTAGTTTAAAATTTTATTTTCTATTTTAAAATTTTTTCTATTGATTTATTATCTTTCTATGGATTTACTGGTTAATGTGAGCATACTTGCTTGGTAAGGGTCTAACAAACTAACTGCCTGGCACAGTAGGAGATATGTTGGCATTGTTGTTGTCCATGGCACAGTATAGATGATAATGATGATCTGTCTCTTTTTAAGAGAAATTGGATGGGGCTATAGGATACAGGTATTCTTTAGTATGTTTGTTGTGATATAGTAAAAATGGGGGTTTCCTTCACTGTTGACAAAAATATCATACCAACTGCTAATGTGCTTCATTTTGTATTATTTTGTCAAAAGGTTTTATTGGTGGAGAGGATACTAAGACAAATTTAAATGCAAGATTATACTATATTTATACCTCTCTTTAATACTGTTTTTTTCAGCAATAAAAATGTAAGTTCTTCTGTCTATCAGATTTCTTTTAGAACAATAGCAGTGCTTTGCATGTTGCAATTCAGAATGGACATTTATCCTTGGTTACTTTTCTTATTGACAAGAATATTGACCTGGTTCCTAAAGCTGAGGTGAGTGTTTATCAGAATAACTCTCCTGCTGCTGCTCAGCCTGTCCTGTCTTTCCATGGGAATTCAGACAGCTGAATGAGATTGAGTAAAAAAATTCATCACCTTGAATTTTTTCCTAGACACACTGCTACTTGGTTTCTAGATGCTGATTATCAACACATACCAATAGAGATGAGATGCCCAGTGAGTGCCTCAGAGGCTGGTGCAGTGCAGAGTAGGCATGGCCAGGCTATGCCAAGGGCCAGGCATTCAGAGATGAAGAACAAAGTGCCCTGCTTGAATTTAGCAGTAGTCATGCTACAGGCAAATAGTCAACATGATTTTGAATAAAGATAATAAACATGTAAGTAAACACTCAGTGCTTTCACACTGCATGTAAATGCACCTTCAAAATCTGCATGCCAAACTTCTTTGCAATTTGAAAAGAAAGAGGTATTTATATTATCCAAATCCTCTCTCAATTTAGATATTACAGATAATTGAGATTTTCTATGAATATAATATTATTTTCCACTTCTACAGTACAGGATGAAAATAGAATCTGGACTTCATGACTTATGACCTGATCACTGACCTCTTGCAGAAAGCTATCAAGGAATAACAATTTATGTTGTGTTTGAAATGATATAAAGGTCAGATTGTTGTTGTACTACTTGTTCTCCTTAGCTTTCTGTAGCAGAAGCAACTAAAAAAATTGTAACTTAAATTTTGCAAACATAACTTAAATTTTGCAAACATCACAATGTTGCATAAGAGCTTGCTTTATTTTTCTGTAGTCCTGAAGAAATGTTTTACAAAGAAATGTTTTATAAAGACACTGAACTGGTGCCTGGCACCATGAATGGTACTTGTATGGAATTATTCTTTAATTGTATTTTGCAAGAAATTGATCAGTCATAGGTTCAACATACAAAGTGATCTTACCAACCTAGTGTGGATTTTGACTGGTGTTGAATCTGTGGCCTGGTTATATTAATAAATAATCAACAAAATAAAACCTCTGTCTTACTAATTGTAATTTGTTGTATTTTATAAATATGGCATCAAGTCACTTAAGTACGAAGAGCATTTCCAGCAGCAACACGTGGTAAAGGTTTGTTCCTGGAAAGTAGATTTCGACATCAGTTTACCAAATACAGAATGAGTCAGTCTCCAGGCCATTCAACAAAGGGCAAGGCCACTTTTGTGAGGGAGCAGAAACATTACCCTGATCTCTCTGTTGTCAGGACAGCAGCCCATCCCGGTTAGGAACACTTAAGAGGAGTGCCTTGCTGCATTCCTAAGTGGTGTATGCACACTGATGCACACCCGGTGCACTCAGCATTTCCAGTGTTCTCAGCTGTATTTCTTTACCTAGTGCAGAAGAAAGGCAGGTGGGAGCAGGCTACCACCTCTGGTATACTCCACACACCCAGGTGTGTTTTCTGCAGAGTTGAGCCTCTGCTAGAGCATGCCACCTTTGCAAGCAGTGGGCTTCAATAAGAACCTTTCTTGTTTGCATGAGCTTGTAATAATATTTCTAAATATAATAATTCATTATTTTCCCTCCACAGCAGAATTCCCCTCTCCATTTAGCAGTTCTCAATAATAATCTACCAGTAGTAAAAAGTCTTTTGGATGCCAATCACAACATAAACTGCTTAAATCACCTAAGAACAGCTGGGAATTTGCACAGCTTTATTGGTATAGGGGAGATTATGTGTATTTTGCTTGAATTTTTTTTTTCTCTTATGAGCTCAGGGTACAAAAAAATAGGAAGTTCCCTCCTAATTTTTTATTTATTTTTTTTTTTGTGTACATATGTATTAATCACTGGTACATGCTGTGCTAATATTGTTTGAGCAAGATAAGGATAGCACAATGCTGTATACTCAGAAAATGATTGGGTAATGTACTGTTTTATGGCTCATGTGTAATAAATGACAGAAATGTCTAATGGTATTGGCTTCAGGAGGAAGCCCAGTGCAGAATGTCATTGGCAGGAAAGAAGTTAATTTTTCCTTTAACCTGCCACATGTAGTGTTTTAGATCTGTGACCAAAACAGGGCTGGTAAAGACGACGCTGTTAAAGCTGCTGCTGAACAATGCTTGCACAGCACCAACATCTTCTCTGTTTCATACTCTGTGTCCCACTTTCATTGACTGGGGTGCTCAGGGAGCTGGGAGGGGGCAAAGCTGAGCAGGGCTGAGCAACACAGCAACACAGAATGACAAGGTCATGGGTCTCTGTGATGCAGTCAGCGAGTAGCTGTTAACTGAAAGGATGCTGGTTTGAGCCCATCCAGGGACAGCTACACCTGTCTTCCTTACCTGAACTAGGATTCTTTCACCCTGCTTGGTGTCAGTGGTCTTTGGAGACCTGGTGAGTTGTTGGCCAGTTCACTACAGATCAGATCAGATCAGTTCACTGTAAATCATATCCACCACTGACGTGTGCCGTACTTCGGTGCTGTCATTCTTGATACCTTTTTTGCTGTACAAAACTTCCTATAACTGTTAATATCCATTTCTGCTTTTGCTGTGTTGCATATCACTTTGTGTTGCTTTGCCTGATAGAGAGATAGAAGTACTGTCCTGTGCCTGATCCGGCGTTTTTGGGCCTTACAGTGACACTCAGGTGTACTCAGGTGACCATCTCATGGAGAAAATCAACAATTGCACCTTTTCATTTCCCTCCTGGTGAGGTGCTTTGTTGCAAGAGGAAAGAATGGCATTTGCCCATTCTTCTCCCCCAGGACAGGTCTCTCCCACCTTCTTGTAACCCTACTCAGTTCCTTGAATATCCTTGTATAATCACACTCTTCATACCAGTG